GGAGAGGAGAGGAGAGGAGAGGAGAGGAGAGGAGAGGAGAGGAGAGGAGAGGAGAGGAGAGGAGGGTAGACCAAGTAAGTCCTACAGTTAAACAAAGTTTCACCATGTCCATCTCTGGTAGTTTAGAGACTTAATTTTAATGAGTCCTGAGAAAAGACAAAGAAGAATACAACAATTTTAATATACTTATAACTTAAAATCCCAGTATGAATACCAGCAATGGTTGGGGGGGGGGACTAGACAAGCTGGCTATCAGGATTATGCAGAAAATTGTGAAAATAAAGCACTGAAGCATCCACTAAAGAACCACCAGAGATCACAATTTACCAGCAATGTCATCTGAAGAATCTTCGTCATGAGGTAGCAACGGTCGTTTATTCCTTTTGCCTTTCTCAGGTAAGTCTTTTGATGGATCTTTTACCCGCATCTGTTATCCACTGAAAAGTTTAAAGAAACATAACAATAATTTTTAATATTAAATTTTCATGTATTTAATGCATATTCAAACTCGGCTGGTCTATAAATCAACAGAGGAAAAAAAAAACAAGCTAAACGAATCGGGTTAAATAAGTCTTTATACAGAGGCCTGAGAGTACAGCTCAGTAGTGGAGCATGCAGCAAACACTGGGCCCTAGTCCCAGGACTGCAAGACCCACAAAAAGGCCAATACATAAACTACACATTCCAACTACTCTGTTATAGACTGCGGAGATGAGCCTGAACAAGAGTAGGTGAAAGAGTGAACCTTGCATTTACATGCGGTAGCAAGAAGAAAGGCAAGATAAATAGATCTCTTTAAAACTGAAGTCTACACTACCCTCGCTGTACCAAGGATAGACCCGATCTGCCGCACCTTGGGCTTGCCACCCTTCAGCACTAACTAATGTTTGTTGTTAAGACCCTCAGTGGACAGTAATTTTTTTCCCCCTGAACTAAGACATGCCCCCCACATTCCTGTATACATGACGTGTCAGAGGGAATTTCTCATCAAGGAAATACGCAGAGCTTCTTACAATGGGCTCTTTCCTCACCCGTCATCAGTGCTGACAGGGGCAGCTGGAAGAGTGGGCCAGGGAGGGAAACTGTGAACCTAGTAGTCAGAGCCCCAGTGGCTGCACTACCTAGTGGACTATTGACAGGAAGATTAATTCCTACTAAAAGCTGCCATGTTTTCTCTCCAAGTTCTCATTATGAAAAATTTTTTAATCTACAAAAGTTAAAAGTTATCATGAGTTCTCATACAGTGTCTAGATTATACATGTATTACCATTTTGCTTTGTTTTATCTAAATATCAATATAGAAACATACAATTTTTGTTGTTGCTGTTTTGTTTTTCAAGACAAGATTTCTCTGTGTAGCTTTGGCTGTCCTAGAATTGAACTCTGTAGACCTGGCTGGCGCTAAACTCAGAGGTCCTCCTGCCTCAGCCTCCAGTGTACTAGGATTAAGGGTGTGCACCATCTCACCTGGGTAGAAACATACAATTTAAAAAATGTTAAAGAATGAGTATGCCTATGGGTATGTGCATGTTGATGCAGAGGTCTGCAAAGGGCAGAAGGCATCGGATCCCCTGCATGGAGTTACAGGCAATTGTGAGCTGCCCAGTGTGGGTGCTGGAAACCAAGCTCTGGTCTTTCTCACGAGAAATACATTTTCTTAAACACTGTACCATAACTCCAACACAATATATATGTGATTATTTTTGATAAGTATCTGAAAATAAGTTGTAGAAATAATGAAAATTTGTCCTTAAATACTTAAGCATAGTGTTTTAAAATAAAGAAGTCTCCTACATGACACCAATATCATATGTAGGAAAAGTTTTCCTAATGTCTTTTATCCTAACATATTCTGATTTCCCTTTCTGATTCAAGTACATTCAACAGGGGATTTGTGGATGAAGACTCAATCATTATTCCTTTTTCATCTGTTACAGTTCTTTATTCCTTTTTAATACTGCTTTCCCATACGACTTTTTAAAAAAGTATGTGTGTGGAGGGTGGTATATGCAGGTGTCTTACTAACACATCTCAGCAAAGGCTTCCGACAGCAGAGCAGGGTAAGGGGAAAGATTCTAACACAGAGCTGGTTCGTAAAGCCTTGCCTGAAACTCATATTGGCAGACTAAAGAAAATCACATGGTGCAAACAAAAATGTATAGCTCAATAAAAACAATTTTTAAAAAAGATTCTTCAATAAATGCCCTAAGTGGGTATTTTTCTACATTTAAAGAAAAAGATCACATGGTCACACTGAACTTCAGGCAAGCAACACGCCCATCACCCATTTTAGCAGACGTCAATTCGAGATGAACACGAAGTGGTCATTTTCTCACGCAGCACACTGGCCTACCCTTATCCAGCACACCGCTCTGTACAACTGCTGGAAACTTACCCATTTCAAGCCCTCTTCAATCTCCCGAATGGCCCACTCTCCCACCTCCCCACAATGAGACGGCAAATCTGCTCTTTCTACCTTTCAATTTACAAACCTGCACCCATGAATTTACCATGATCAAAACTGTGTCTGGAACTGAGGTGCCAGCAGAAGGACTCAAAGAAGTCAGCACACGGTTGTAGGTTGTACTCATGGACATTTCAGAGAGCATTTGAATGAACATACACGTAATTAGAATGGACTGGGGAGCTTTACCATAACTTCCACAAGCTCTCTCCCTCTCCTCCTCACGAGGAATAAGCAGCTATAAATCTGAGCTCAGGGGAACGAACCCATTAGATAACAGAAGCCTGGGATCTGTATGGCAATTGGTAATTTTGGCATAAAATATAACGTTAGGCATAGAAAATTTGCTACTACATTAGGACACTCCCAGACTCCAGGTTTCCAGGTGCCAAACAAGGTTGCCATGGTTGCAGGGAGACCAGACCTAGGACAGAGCCTCAGGCCTGACTGTTAACTCTTTATCATAAATATGTGCTGGCTATTTTGTTATTTCGTGTCGTTTTCTAAACATCAAATGCTACAGCTTTTTCAAAAATCTATTTATTTATGTATTTTGTGTGTGAGGATGTCCGCGTGTACATGTGTTCATGTGTTTCGCTTTGCATCCCTGAAGATCTCTCTTTCACCACGTGGGTCCTGGAGACTCAACCACCAGGCTTGGCAGTCAAAGCCTTTACTGGCCGAACCATCAGCTTCAGGTTTTAACTTAAACAGTACTTGGCACCTGCATTTTGTCTAACACAGGATGTACAGCTAGCATATTTAAGATTTTGCTTTTCAACTAGCTACAAGCAACCCGTGTCCAAATACTGTTCTTTTAAGTTTTGGGCTGCTATTCTCCAGCATGAGAAGAGGAAACGCAAACATCTTCCTTTTAGATACCCGGGCTCAGAACACTCAAGAGCCTTTGCCCAACTACTCTTATCATCACTATCATCATCCTCATTTGACACGTAAAGTGGCTTGCAGAAGTCCGGGAGCCAGAAGTGGACTCAGGTAGGATCGACCCTAACCTAATATTCCGTGTAGCAAGAAAGCCATAGTTAGGCTCTCTTCCTCAGGCCACTGTTGCACTCCAAGTTAGCAGAGTGGAATGCGAGGGACAAGAGATCCCGCGTCAGCGAGAAGACCGAACTTGGCCTTGCTCCCTCCCCGACCCCGGCTCTTCCCGCAGCCATCAGGACTCGGCCCGGTAGCCGCCCGGCGCCCCTGCGAATGTGGACGCGACGGCACGCGGGAAACCTCTTTTCCTAGGCTGGTCCACCTAGAAGGAAGTCTCGCCGCTCAAGCGAAAACACAGCGAAGGCACAAGGATTGCAGTGACCCCAAAGCCTGGGCCCCAACTCACCCCGCCCGCCGGGCCGCAGCTTCCACACACAGGAGCTTCTGCGCCTGCGCGACAGGCAACCCGGTGAAGGCGGGGCCTGGCGTCCTGGGTGGAGCCAGGGGCGGGACTTTGAGTCTAGGCTCTGTTCCCGGTCGTCCTTCCCGCAGCGAAGAGGTCTGAGCGAACCGGAGTAGGTGTAGGTGTAATGAGGGGGTGACTCCCTGCAGCCGGCTGGTACAATGCCAGCCACAGGCCTAAGTTCAGGTGCTGGCTTGGGTGAGCTGCTCTGGTCCTTCAGGCCTGTCTCGCTGAGCACCGTTTGGAACGGCTTCCAGTGTCTCATCACCGTTCTGGGAACTCTATAAAGAATTAAATCTGACATTCACTGTATATGAATTTTTTTTTTCATGTGGTTCTCTCTCCTGAACTAGACAGTGCATCACACCCTTAATTCTTCAGAGTCCAATCATCTGTAACAGCGATGTACACTTTGCTTTTGAGTAAAAATAGTTGGTTTGAAATTATTTTGTTGCAAGAACTGGTTGATGGGTCCTAGAAGTCTCATTCTTTCACAAAGGACAAGTTGTGGTCAATGGACAAGGTTGATGTCTTAGAAGTTAAAAGATTGTAACTAAGAGCCAAAAGCTGACTGCTGGTTAACTTAAAAATTCTAATCCATTTCTATGGGAAGACTTGCCAAAGGGGCTAGCTATTCATTGACATTGTGTTTATAGAAACCGTGAATTGGACAAATACAATGGAATACAAATATGCAGGTCAAGGTGCTAGATGTGGGGAGGCATAATTGCCTTTTAAGAGATTCTCTTCCAGGATGAAAAAAAAAGTTGCATGGGGAAAAACAGTTTGCATTGTAATATAATTTCAAAGTCAAAATTGTCTGTATAAATACAAAGTTTCATATGTTGATGTTGAATTTGAAATGGAAGATGAACAGATAAGAGCAAATCTAAAGGATTTTCAACTAAATTGCATCAGAATAGGACCTTTTAAAAATATCCTATTTTAAGACTCACTTTACAATTAGACGGAGAAGGGCTGGATTTAAACATGAAAATTTAGATTCTCTTCTTAATAAAAAGAAATTTAAGAATTCTGCAATTAATCACTGAATATTAAAATTTCTCTTACAATTAATGAAGTCCCATGGCTATTGTCTGTTCCGCTAAGAAATTGCTTTTTCCACATCTGGCCTTTAGACAAAAGCCACCATTCCCTCCGTGGCTTGAAGAAAGTGCTTGTTTGCTAAAAGAGGGAGTCATTCTCATCTCTGGCAAGAGGAACAAGTGGCTCTTCAATTAACAGATGGCAAAGGTACCTATTAACTTGTCAAGGTCAATGCTACCCTCTTGGCTCCCTCAGTCCCTGCTCACAAGCCCCACCCCAGCTCACGAGCATCCTATTCCTGTTTAAGGCTGGAAATCTTTCCCCTGTCGCTTTTCCTTGCTTTCCTAGGAGACAGCCTTGCAGTTTGGAAAATACCTTTTCCCTTTTCACCCTGGAGTGGCTAGTTTGGTTTCTTTACTCCCCCCCACCCCCCCACCCCCGTTTCATTCAGCAACCTTGCTATCTAGCAGATATGCTCTTAGTCTAATCTGGAGAGACTGCAATCCCCATTCAAAATTGGATAAAAACCAAGGGCACTTCCTGCCTTTGTTCAGAATGCCCTCGTTTTCAAGAGTAAGGTTGGAAAGGTGGTCTCCTTTTTGGGGACCCTGAACTTATTTCTAATAAAACACTGATGTGGGATTGATTTCTTATTAATAAAGAACTGCCTAGGCCCCTTGATAGGCCAACCCTTAGGTAGGCAGAGTAAACAGAACAGAATGCTGGGAGAAAGAACCTGAGTCAAGGAGTCGCCATGGTTCTCCCACTCCAGACAGACGCAGGTTAAGATCTTCTCTGGTATGCCACCTCGTGGGCTACACAGATTATTAGAAATGGGTTAGATTAATATATAAGAGCTAGCCAGTAAGAGGCTACAGACAACGGGCCAGGCAGTGTTTAAAAGAATACAGATTCCATATAATTATTTCAGGCATAAGCTAGCCATGCAGGCGGCCGGGTGCTGGGGACGCAGCCCCGCCGCTCTTATCACAACAAAATACCACGTCACAAGCAGAGAGAAATGAACACGTGGATGCTCACTTGTTTGTGTACAGCTTGATTTTTTCCACTTTTAAATGATGAAGTATTTATTTTATGTATGTGTATGTATGTTTGAGAGTGAGTGCCAAGTGTCTAGGTGTGTCTGTAAAGTCAGAAAAGGCCATTGAGTCCCAACATAGATGCTAGGAACTGAACTCTAATCCTTGTTTCCAGTTCACTCATCTCTTTAAGCCCTTCCATTTCTCTACTCTTCAAACAGTTCAGAGCCTCCTGTCTAGGGATTGGTGCCACTCACGGTGGTCTGGATCTTCCTATATCAATTACTGTAATTAAGGTAGTTCCCCAAGACATTCCAACTAACCAACACAATGTAAGCAATCCAACACTGAGACTTCCCAGATGATTCTAAGTTGCATTAAGTTGACAATTAAAGCTAACCATCACACATGTTTTCTCTCATGTGGTGAATCTACAAAAAATGTATATTACAGAGGACTGGCAAGATGGCCTAGCAGGTAAGGGTGCCTGTCACTACACATGACAAACCTGGATTCAATCCCCAGAACCCATATAAATGTTTCAAGGTAGAACTGACTCCACAAAGTTGTCCTTTGACCTCCAACATACATGCTGTGGCACATATGTACTCTTCTCCACACACACACACACACACACACACACACACACACACACACACGCAACCCCCCTCAAACCCAAAATTTAAGAGCTTAAACTCTAAGTGATTAGGAAACACCTCATAGCAGATGATGTCACTGGTGTAGAATCTGATGTGGTTTATGAATTATTGAATTACTGGATCTAGGGCGATGACTCAGTTGGCAGAGTGCTTGCTACACAGCATGAGGACTTGCGTTCAGAATCTCAGAACCATCTAGAAAGCACAATGTGCCTATAACTCCAGTGCTCGGGTGGGATTTCAGAGACAGCCTGATCTGAAGCTCAGTGGCCAGTCAGCCTAGCCTAACCGTTTATCTTCTTTTTTAAAAAAATATTTTTTATTTATTTAATTTATATGTATGAGTGTTTTCTTGCATGTATGTCTGTGCACCATGTACTTTCTAGGTACATTCAGAGGAGTTATAGATTGTTATAAACCACCATATGGATGTTAGGAATTAAACCGAGGCTCTCTGCTAACAAATGTTCTTAACCGCTGAACTATTCTCTAGCACACACACACACACACACACACACACACACACACACACACACACACACCAATTGGTCATCTTCAGGTTCAATGAGATAAATTGTCTCAAAAAAGAAAGGGGTAGTGACTGAGGAAAGACACCTAGCATCAACCTCTGCCCTCTATACACACACCCACCCTAACTAGTGCATACACCACATACATATACAGACAACTACACACACACCTAACACACAATAAAAAAGTACTAAATTATTGAAAATGGGCTGATTTTAGACAGGCGATGAAGGAGCATGCTTTAATCCCAGTTCTTGGGAGACAGAGGCAGGCGGATCTCTGTGAGTTTGAAGCCAGCCTGGTCTACAGAGTGAGGTCCAGGACAACCATGGTCACAAAGACACCCTTTTTCAAAAAACAAAACAAATACAAAGACAAAAAAGAAAAAAAGAAAGTGTACTGACCTCAAAATGTGTATTTAATGAAATTATTTCTTGGGCATACAATTTAATAACAGTTTGAGTTAATATGTTAATTTCTAACTGAATAAATTCCAGTTCAATGCAGCTTTCATGATGTTTGGGGAACTAAACCAAGGAGAAAGTTAAGGTAAAGCGAGAAGCTTTATAAGGGGGAAAAAATGACCTAGCCCACCCAACCCAAATATGCCCCGAGTTCTAATCCCTGGAACCTGTAATGCGTTACTTTCCCTGGTATCTTAGTCAGTGCTATTGCTGTGGAGAGACACCATGACCATGGCAATTCTATTAAAGGAAAACATTTAATCAGGGCTGGCTTTCAATTCAAGTTTAGTCCATTATCACCATGGCAGGGAGCACGGTGGTGTGCAGGCAGACATGGTTCTGGAGAAGGCGATGAGGGTTCTCCATCAGATCTGCAGGCAGCAGGAAGAGAGAGAGACACACCTGGCCTGGCGTGAGCTTATGAAACCTCAAAGCCCACCCCCACGACAATTTTCTTGCAACACGGCAACATTGCCTAAGGCCACTCCCTAAGCATTTAAATACATGTTCCTATGGGGGCCATTCTTATTCAAACTGCCACACCTGGTAAAAGAGACTTTGCAGATATTATCCCGTGTTAACTCTCTGGAAGTGGGAACACTGGCGTGGATTATTTCAGTGGTCTTTAGAGGAAGAAGAGAGGAGGGCAAATGAAAGGACTTAGAGCAGATGCTAGAGTCAGCCAGAGAAGTGTGAAGGTGCTTAGATACCTGCTCTGAAGATGAGTAAAGACCGGGAGCCAAGGGATAAGTCAGCACGAGAAGACACGAAAACAGGTAAAAGTAAATTAAAATAAAAACCTTCCCTGGTGTTTTTTAAAAAAAAAAAAACAAAAAACACATTTTTGGACACATTGATTTGTATGGTAACTTCAAAATTGTAAATAATCAATTTCTGCTGATTTAAGTCAGTAAACATATGGCGAGTTGCCAATGTAGCAGTAAGAAGCTAACACTATAAAACTGCCAAAGACCATCTTAGGATAAAGTCAAATATTCCCGGTGTGGCAGTACCCGGTTCTGTCGGTGCTGACTGAGGGGCGCTCAAGAGCCTGGACAGCGCCCGTGGTGAGAAGCCAGGAAGAAGGAGGAGGAAGTGGTTAGCAGCACCGGGGTCCCACATTGCCCACGGTGATGTTGGCCAGGCGGGTGCTTGGGACCTCACGCAGGGCGGCGCTAGGATCGGTGGAGGCTGCGCTTGGCGGTGAGCTTGATCCCTGAGAAACAAAAACCACCTGATGGATGTCGAGTGCCAGGGAGGGGATGACATTGAGCGTGCGCTCGTCTTTAGGCTTCCAGTTAATATAAGTGAAGCCCACTTGCTACTCTTGGCACGTAGGTATCTGGTGCCCACTGCAGTTTTTGCTCCATTTGATCCTCCGGATTCCATGTCTGGAGATGCGCTGTTGAACGCAGCGGCAGAGCAAACGTGGCACCAAGGTTATTTATAATGGAAATTAATTATGCAAGCTTGAGTGATGAAGGTCACTTCGCCACTGAAAGGAGCCAGCAAGAAGGCTCCGGAAAGGCTTAATTATACACCCACCCTTTTAACTTACCATTGTGACCCGACCCAGCAGCGGCTAGAGCTTTTAATGAACGAGACACACACACACACACACACACACACACACACACACACACACACACACACACACTGAGAGCGGGGGTGGGGGTTAGAACTAGGAAGGTACTCCCTCTCCCATTAATTCTGTAAATTTGGAAGAAGGCGGAAGTGAATGTTGCCTTTGACCCAGTTGGATCTAAAGCTCAATCCAGGGCTTCAGTCCTTCCCAACACTCCTCCCCACCCTTTTATTTTATTTTATTTTTTTTCTTATTTTAAACAGTCTCTTCTTTAATGTAATGTTTTCTTCCAAAGAAGCAGGTTTATGGGCCCAGAAAGCTAGCCTCCCTTGCTCTTTTGTTGCTGAAGATGGACTTTTCTGTGCAAATTGTTATCATTCACGTTTCTGTAGCAAAAGTAGGTGATCAAATCTGCCAGGCCTCCTCCAGGGAATTAGCTCCCCAAGGAGTTCACCATTTGTGGGGGGATGGGCGAAGATGGAGACTGATACAAGTACACAGAGTGAATCTTGACTTGAACACCCTGCTAGAGGAAGGGGCCTTTGTGTATTTGTTTTTGTTTGTTTCTGAGACAGAGTTTTTCTCTGTAGCTTTGGAGTTTTTCCTGGAACTCTCTTTGTAGACCAGACTGGCCTCAAACTCACAGAGACCCACCTGCTTCTGCCTCCTGAGTGCTGGGATTAAAGGTAGGTGCCATCACTGCCTCGCACTTTCCGTATTTTAAAAAGTACACAAATAGTGCATAGTTATATTCTCACTAAAATAAAGCAAAGGAAAGAAGAGCAGAGTCACAGATCTCCTTTAAATACTCGAATCCCACTCCTCAGATATGGATGATAATGGCTCTTTTAAGTTTTTCTATGGTTACCCATAGATAAAAGTTTGTATTATATGTGTGTATTGTGTATATACCTCCATATTTTGATTCACATAAGTATTTCGCTTTTAAAAGCTGCATATTTTCCATAGTGGGAATGTACTACAGTTTACTAACCAGTCACTTGTAAAAAATTTAAGTCCCAAGTTTTATTATAAAATTATTTGATAATCATTGTGTAATCTACCTGGTGCACACAAACAGGTATTTTAGTAGAATGGATTAGAAGCAGAATTGTTAAAGGGAAATGTCAAGAAATATTAAATAGATATGAAAGGAGAGTAAATGTTCCCTGTAAAAATGAAGGGAGAGGTATTTCTTTCAGAAGGAGCAGAGTGGTATAATTATGAAAACAGGAATAATTATTAATCGCACTGTGTATACATTAATATTATTTAAATCCAACAGCATATATTCATTAGTTTTCTCAGTGCTGTAACATAATACCAGACAAAAGCAAATTCAGAAAGGGTTTATTTTGGCTCATGGCTTGAGAAGGGATATATATATAACATATATATAATATACATTACATATATAATATATATTACATATATGTTATATATATTCTCCAAAACTTAAGACTCAGTCATCTTTTTCTTCAGTGTCAGAACTATTGAATACGTCTTTGGTTGAACACCAGACTAAGTGGTCAATTTACAAGTGGAGGATATGGTACACAAAACACCTACTGCTTGATGCAAATACATAGTGTGTAGTGCAGGCTCATGCCGTAAGAGACTTGGGGAAGGTGAGATGAAAGGAAAGTACACTGCTGCGTCAGCCTTTGATGACCGAATGGAAGAGCAATAAAGCCCGTCTTTATTTCCTACTACCTCACAAGAGAGCATAGCTGAATTATAGGAAGTTAAGTCAGTCTGATGATTACAAGGAAAAAATTATCTTTGATCCAGTTTCAAGAGTTCCTTGCTGGGGGTACATTTTTTCATGTTGGCTAGAACCAAGCTTAACATAATTTATGAATTACATAGTTTTCTAGTTTCTTACCATAACACATAGAAAATGTATGGATTTAGCCTGCTGTCTCTAATTTGAATAGGTTGATTCCAAACTTTTACAAATATAATTCTGGGGGCTGGAAAGATGGCTCAGAGGTTAAGAGCACTGACTGCTCTTCCAGAGGTCCGGAGTTCAATTCCCAGCAACCACATGGTGGCTCACAGGCATCTGTAATGAGATCTGGTGCTGTCTTTTGGCAAGCGTATATATACTAAATAAATAAATTTTAAAAGATGTTCAAAAATATAATTCTGAGGGCTGGAGAGATGGCTCAGCGGTTTAATAGCCCTGAGTTCAGTTCCCACCGCCAATGTTAGGAGGCTCACAAGTGCTTCCAACTCCAGCTTCTGGGAATAGATACATGTGACCTCTGCACACATATGCTAGACACATACACAGGGGGAAAGCACCTTAAAAGTTAAATAAAATTGTTTTAAATATCATCTTGGGGCTGACAAGACGGCTTAGTGGGTAAAGCTGCTTGCTACGCAAGACTGGTGACCTAACTTTGATCCTGGAACCCAAGAAAAGATGGAAGAACAGACTTCTCGTCAAAGCTGTAATGTCATCCCCACACGTGATCCTGTAGGACAGATTTCTAAAAGTAGAGCCATGAGGGGAAAAAGAATATGCAAACTTAAAATGTTATTATGCTAATTTCCTTCAAAAGCTCTATTTAAAACTTTAGGCTCAGCACTTGGGAGGTTGAGGCAGGCAGATATCTGTGAGTTCGAGGCCAGCCTGGTCTACATAGTGATGTCCAGGATATGCAGTGCTATGTCGAGAGTTCTTGTCTTAAACAAAACGAAACAAAACTCTGTGTGTGTGTGTGTGTGTGTGTGTGTATGTGTGTGTGCGTGTGTGTGTGTGTGTGTGTGTGTGCATGTAAGGGTAATTTGTCCACGTGTATGTCTCACCTACGTGCTTGGTGCCTGAAGAGGGGGAAAGGTGGTCCTGGATCCCTCAGAATTAAAGTTACAGACTGTTTTGAACCTCCATCGAATCTTGGAATCAAACTCAGGTCCTCTGGAAGAGCAGTAAAAGCTCTTTTTTTTAGAGCACTAAAAACTCTTTTGTTTTGTTTTAGAGTTTTGGTTTTTCAAGACAGGGTTAACCATCTAGCCCTCCTTTAAGAGTTCTTAATGGCAATGTGTGAGAAAATCCATTTCCTCAGACCTTCGCCAGTATTTGGTATAATCAAAGCTTCACTGGTTTGATGCAAAGTTTTAACACTTATAACCCCCCCCCCACCTTTCTGGTTTTTGTTTGTTTGTTTGTTTGTTTTTTTTGGTTTTTTGAGACAGGGTTTCTCTGTAGCTTTGGTGCCCGTCCCGGAACTAGCTCTTGTAGACCAGGCTGGCCTTGAACTCCCAGAGTTCCGCCTGCCTCTGCCTCCCAAGTGCTGGGATTAAAGGTGTGCGTCCCCACCGCCCGGCACTGGTTTTTGTTTTTTGAGACAGGGTTTCTCTATGTAGCCCTGGCTATCCTGGAACTTGTTCTGTAGACCAGGCTGACCTTGAACTCACAAAGGTCCACCTGCTTCTACCTTCCAAGTGCTGGGATTAAAGTTGTGTACCACCACGTCTGACAGGGACAAATCTTTATTAAAGGCTTATGTGGGAGGGGCCAATCCGTTGTAGGTGTGCCACCTGAGCAGGTAAATGGGGTGATAGGCAAGCAGGTTGAGCAAGCCATGGAGAACAGGACAATATGCAGCAATCCTCCATGGCTTCTGTTCAGTAACTGCCTCCAGATTCCTGCCCTCAGTTCATGCCCCTGGCTTCCCTCAGTGATGAAGTTAGGAGTTATAAGGTGAAACAAACCCTTTCTTCCCCAAGTTACTTTTGGCCAAGGTGTTTTTATCACAAGAGCAGAAACCGTATGATATGCAAGTTCCTATTCTTATTGGCAAAAGGAAATAAAGTTAAATTTTTCCTCATCTTGTCACTTGAGTTACGAATGAGATTAGCAGATTATACCCATAGCAATTATTAAATGTCTGCTATGTTTCGAAGCTCTTGCTAGGTAAAGGGTTTTGAGGGCATACGAAGAGGCCGAAGGCTAGCTATCAAGCACACAGAGCAAGTTGGCAGGCAGCGTCGTGTTGCTCAGTCAGAACGTGTGCACACTGGCAAACATTGTTCTGTGCTCTGCTCACAACCCCTTTCTCTTCTCAGGTATGTTAGGGCTGAGCCAGGGGCCTCATTTTGAAGCAAGCACTTTCTACTACTGATCTGCCTCCCCTCACAAATAGCTTCTGACACCAAATGTATAGTTTTTCTACACCAAGCTAATTCTCTATTTGAGTCTTAAAATTTAATTCTGAACCGACTACCTAGAGTTACTGAAGACACCAGAAGGGCTTCCCAACAAAACTGTGCCAACTTTAGACACCATTCCCAAGTTTATACTTCCCACATTTCTGACCAACAAAATATAAATCAGAACTTCCCATGACCCCTTCTCCATTGTCAATAATTCACTAATGGAACTCAGTTAAGCACTTTTTTTTTTTTTGAGACAGGGTTTCTCTGTGGTTTTGGAGCCTGTCCTGGAACTAGCTCTTGTAGACCAGGCTGGTCTCGAACTCACAGAGATCCTCCTGCCTCTGCCTCCTGAGTGCTGGGATTAAAGGCGTGCGCCACCATCCCCCGGCTGTTAAGCACTTCTATCAGTTTATTTTCAATGATTTATTAAAGAATACAGATGGAGAACCTGCTGAAGAAGCCATGGTATGAGATCTAGAAGAATCTAGAAGAGTGTTTCCCTCTTCATGGAACTGAGGTGTGGCATGTTCCCAGTGCATGGATGTGTTAACCCAGTACATCTCCAAACCCCATAGATGAAAGATTTTGATGGAAGCGTCATAACGGAAGCACTGTTGACTGCTAAGTCAGTCTTCTAGCCTTGCTCCACTGCACAGAAGACCAGGCATAAAAGATCCAAGTTGTTCTCACGGCTTAGTCTTTTGGGTGATCAGTGCTACCCCGAAGCTGTCTAGGGCACCAGAGCCAACCTCATTCAAACAAAAGTATCTTTTCCTCCCACTCCCAGAAGTTCTATGTACTTCCAGGTCAGGAACCAAGAACAGAGTATGTATCCAGAGTTTGTTAAAGCAAAAAGGTGAACTCAGTTATGTCATCTAACTATAACCTACTTATAGCTGTTAATACCAATGTCACTTAAGTCTGAATTTTTTTTATAGGTTTGAAGTCAATATGGGGAAGCAGCCAACATTTTTGCTCTGCTCTTTCTAAGGGTGTCACATATAGGGAACTAAAAAACCTGCTGAGCTCCAAAAACATTATGTTAATTGATGTTAGAGATACATGGGAAGTTCTTGAGCATGGAAAAATACCTGGATCAATCAATATACCATGTAAGTGCTGTGTGTTTTAAACAGGTCCATTCATATGCTTAATAACTGGTTGTATCCACAACTTAATTAAACGTGTTACCACTTTCTTCCAGTGGATGAGGTGGGGGAAGCTCTACAGATGAACTCGAGGGATTTCAAAGAGAAGTACCATGAAGTGAAGCCATCCAAATCCGACCGTCTAGTGTTTTCTTGTTTTGCTGGAGTGAGAAGTAAGAAGGCTATGGACACAGCAATATCGCTTGGCTTTAACAGGTGGGTGAGTGAAGGAAAAACTAGACTGAGCACTGGATTGCAATATTAATCAGACATTTGGGGTGCTGGGGCTATTGCCCAGCGGCAGTATAATTGCCTAGGATGTGAAAAACCCCAGATGTAACCCCTGGTATAACAAAAATAAACATCTGTTAGTCTACTTAAGAATCTCCTGGGGAGGGGGCAGAGCTGGAGAGATTTCTCAGTGGTTAAGAGCACTGTCTGCAATTCCAGAGGATCCAGGTTTGACTCCTAGCACGCACATGTCACCTCACAGCTGTCTGTAATTTCAGTTCCAGGAGATCTGATGCCCTGGTCTGTCCTCTTTGGGCACTAGCCATGCATGTGGTGTACAGACACATAGGCAGACAAAACACCTACACACATATGTAACAAAAATTTAAAGTCAATCAGAGCTACATGATATTTGTGTCAGAAAAAAAAAGAGTATCTTGGAGCTGGTAATAGAATTCAGTGGTAAACCATTTTCCTCACTTGCCCAAGTCCCTGGATTTAATCCCTACTACTGCAGGGGTAAAACAAAACAAAACAAAACACCCCATACTGCTAATAAAGGCAGTATAGAGACCAAGGGCATGTGTCTTTCCCACCTACTAAAAACCAACGATTCTGAAAAGCAGTATAGAACTAGATAGTAAGGTGAGTAGCTATTGCAAAGTTCCTCCGTATCTTCTGCTATGAAATATAACCCTATTTTGTATGTTTTCAGTGTTCAGCACTATGCTGGGGGATGGAAAGAATGGGTAACCTATGAGATTTCTGAGAAGAAACAAGAAAATTGAGTTCTGGAATAAGAGAACTCTGTCCTGTGTTCATACATCCAAGGACAGTGGAGGAAGCAAAAGAAATCTCCAGTCTTGGCACCAAAGGATATGCTCGGCAACTGTTTTCCTCCTCTGTGAACCGAAGAGACTGCTCTCCTGGACACTTTCAGAGTCTACCGAGAACTGCAATAATATGAATTGCCATTGACATATACAGATTCTACAGTTAATTTTTAAGTGTTTGGTATTCCAAAGGATCAGGTAGCTTGTGTGACCTAATCATGTGCAGTCATGCTATAAGCAGGCGTGTTAACAAGCAGTCCCGATCTTAAACAATAACTAAGCATTGGTTTTAGGCCCATACTTGTAGTTCCAATACTCAGTAGACTGAGATAGGCAGATTGCTGTAAATTTGAGGCCAGGCTATAAATTTGATACTCTGTTACAAAAGAAAAGAAAAGAAAAAAAAAGAAGAGGGGAGGGGAGGGGAGAGGAGAGGAGAGGAGAGGAGAGGAGAGGAGAGGAGAGGAGAGGAGAGGAGAGGAGAGGAAAGGAAAGGAGAGGAAAGGAAAGGAAAGGAAAGGAAAGGAAGGGAAGGGAAGGGAAGGGAAAGGAAAAAAAAGGATCTGGGGTCTAGAGACGCAAACTCTGGACAGGAAAACACATTCACAGCGTCTGAAGACTCAGGACAACATGTGGCCAGAATAGAAACAATGTAACTAATTTTAAAACTTCAGGTCAATGTGAGGATAAAAGTTGCATGGGTTGTGACTGTGGAAGGCAAACAAACCTGGAAGAGGTCAGGAAATTTTGTAGGCTAGTAGAGATTGTCTATGGTATGACTGAATTGTCAGGAGTATGCGTGTCAAACCCCATCAAAGCAAACACAAAGATATGGTATTACAAGAAATATACCTCAATTTGAAAAATAAAAACAAATATTTATACCATCTTGACTCCTTCTAGCGTGCATGTATGTTTTTAGAATGTTAAATTATATGCTTGTTATTGTGCTGGCTTAATAGTAACAAAGTAAACTTGTGTTTTCTCGTTTTTTTAAGATTTATTTGTTATGCAGATGAAAGGTTTTCCCTCTTAAGGGACTACTTTCTACTTCTACTGATACATCACACTCCATCCTACATAGAGGAAGCCCAGAAAAACAGCTATGGCCTGGATCAGCATAAATAGTGGCCTGCCACCAATCATTGTTTAGGTTGTCTAGATCAATACAGTAGAAAATTCTAAAGTTCCCTTCACCAAATATATCACTAGGGAGGGGAAACTTCCATTCCGTCAGTGTGGTGCTTTGAATGTAATTGGCCCCCTAAGCTCACAGGGAGTGGCACTACTGGGAGGTGTGACCTTGTTGAAGTAGGTGTGGTCTTGTTGGAGGAAGTGTGTCACTGTGGGGGGTGATGGGCTTTGATTTCTTTTGCTCAAGCTTTCCTCAGTGTGACACTAAGTCCACTTCCTTTTGCCTTCTGATCAAGGTATATCCAGCACCATGTCTACCTGCATGCTGCCATGCTCCCCACCACAATGATAACGGACTGAGGAAGCGAGCCACCATAATTAAATGTTTTCTTTGTAGGAGTTGTCATAGTCAGTGGCGCACGCCTTTAATCCCAGCACTTAGGAGGCAGAGGCAGGTGGATCTCTGTGAGTTCAAGGCCAGCCTGGCCTACAAGAGCTAGTTCCAGGACAGGCTTCAAAGATACAGGGAAACCCTGACTCAAAAAACCAAAAGAATTTTCATGGCCAAAGTGTAACAGCAATAGAAACCCTGAGACTGTTAACCAGAAAGGTATACTTAGGGAATTAGCTACTGAGAGTCTTGGCTCACATAGGCAAAATATGTGGACCTGCCAAAAGACGAATCCCCAGGAAATCACTCACCTCTCCCTGGCAAAGGCAAAAAAAAAAAAAAAAAAAATACCCAAGAGGATTGGCAGATTTTACCTACCTACCAGGCACAAGGACCCATCTCCTACAGTGTGGGTACACACTTTTTTTTTTTTTTTTTTTTTTGCTTTTTCGAGACAGGGTTTCTCTGTGGCTTTGGAGCCTGTCCTGGAACTAGCACTGTAGACCAGGCTGGTCTCGAACTCGCAGGCAGAAGTTACCCAAGGAGTTTTCCTGGGACTTGGAGATACAATTTAAACTCCACTGTCCCTGGCATTCCCTGTCTGCCAGACAAGTGTAAAGAATAAATGGGACTTAAGTTATTATCCTTAGCCCTTAGGGATTGGCCCCTGAGATGCCTTGTAAAGCAGGCATGTCCACTGAAGTAACCTGTTTTTCAGACTAACTGCTGGTAACATGTATCACCCATCTAGCCAAGTTCCTGTAGGGGCTGAGTCCTGCTCCAGCTCCTACCTAGGGTTCCAAAGATAAAACGTTTCTCAGGAGCGGAGGGGGTAAAAGATTTCTGCAACTTCACACACAATCTGAAGGCCATGCTCCTTATTGTTCTGTGTTTGCCCTAATAATCCCATCCTACTTCTAATCCCTCCTAGCTTTCTTCTTTTCCTACACTCTTATCCTTTTACATTTCTAATCTCTGCCAGCTACTGCCTCTTTAGTCTTGCCTCTCAAAATCAAAATCTCTTTCCCCAGAGGCTTTGAAGTAAAAAGAGTTAAAGTTAGCTTTTCAGTGTGGTAAGGGCAGGGCCATTATCATGGCAACACAAGGGTCCAAAGTTCCAGAAGTGAGACTGTGACCAGAGGGCGGGAGTACAGTGAGATAGGCTTTGAGATTTGGGTCTTTGGCTAGCAAAGAATGGGCTTGCTTTAACGCCAATGCCAGGTTAACTTGCTTTCCTGTCTACTGGCAGAGGGAATCTAGGACACTCTTGTTCTCTATCTGATAAGCCGTAATTCTTGTCTGTGTGAATGTCTCAAATGAAGTCTCTTTGCACTTATCAACTGTCTGCCAAGGAAGATAATTGCAGGAGGGCAGACTTCTAAGTTTATTTTAAAAACCAAACCCAAACCAAACCAAAAAAAACCTGGTTGAGAGAATAAGAGTAGTTAACTGATTTTCTTGCCAGAATCAAGCACTGCTGGGAAGAGTCATCCAATATACCAATGCATAGGAGGAATTGTGCCCAGTAATTGATGAATACCCTGCTGGGGTTTTCAGGATGAATCCCACCATAGAGAGGGGAGCACTATGGCTTCAAGGGGAACTTAGAGCAAGACAGCAGTTATTCATAAAGCAAATACTCCCACTTCCTGTGTGTCAGCCTCCTCCATCGGAATGTGATCCTGATGGGTTAGCTTTGTGATTTTGTCAGCTCAGTTCTCACTGCATAATCCTAGGACGGCATCAAGTCCCAACAAGTTCTTTCGGAACATAAACAAGCAGGCCTAGGTATGAGACATAGGGCAGTCCCAGTACTATTCTGGGAACCACGTTCTGGAAAAGACAATCAGAGATGCCTCAATTGGGAAGCTTCTTAGTCTGCAATCTTCATCTGTTCCATGGAACTATTATGGTGTCAGAGGCCTCGAAATGTAAAGATACAATATGATTTGATGCTTTAATTTTTAAAAGTTTTACCTCAATCATGGGAGATCACTTTTTAAGTAGATCACAAGGGAACAGAGGTAACCATAGAAAACGTGGCATCAACAGACCAAATTCTATTATTAACCAAATGCTTCAGCTTCCCTTCATTCTTATCTTCATCAGCTACTTTATGACTTCCATGGGGCCTCTTTGACTCTGTGAGAATGTATTCTTTTGCTATTTACCATGGATGTGTCATAACACTTAATGGAAAAAGGTTTGGCATCTAATCTATTGAAGTTTTAGATCTAAAAATTGATTTATATGTTTTATGTGTATAGTTTTATGACTTCTTTCTACATTTGGTGGTTCACCAAATGTGTGCAGTGCCCACAGATGCCAGAAAAGGGAGTCAAATCTCCTGGAACTGTTATTTCTGATGGTTGTGAGCTGCCATGAGGATGCTGGCAACTGAACCCGGGCTCTCTGCAAGAGCAGCAAATGTTCTTAGACCTCTGAGCCACCTCTCTAACAATAAGTACTGCATTATTTTTAAAACTACTTTTAAATTATAATGTTTATGTGCACAGTATTTTGCCTCCACGCATGTGATGTATCACTTGCATAACTGGCCCCTGTAGAGGCTGGAAGAGGGTATCAGATCCCCTGGAACTGGAAGTACAGACTGGCCACTAAGAATTCAATCTAGCAGATTTGAACTTCTGATCTCCTACCTCCATACCCTAAGCTGCTAGTACTAAAGGTGTGGGCCAGCTCAAACTGTACAGCTAAATGACGGAAGTTCACTGTAGGAGTCAAGAGGAAATGTGCTGGACAGCAAGACCTTTCACCTTCCATGGTAGGGCAGTATTTACAACTGAAAATAAAAACAAACAAATAAATAAATGGGGACGGGTAAGCAGAAGAGATTAAGTATGGTAACGTATCTGGAGTACAGTCACCAGGTTTTATGGACTAGAATCTGTATGTAAGCTGTCGCTTACTTCAACTATAACTGAAAGAGTTCTTATCTGTGGAGTTAACCTACTCTGAGAACTAGCTCAAACTTAGCACACCTGACATATAGTGAGTGCTCAAATTAACGATACTATTAAGAGAATGATAATTGGAAATTCTGAAGTAAATAGCAGAGAAATGATGAAAGTTAAAAGGAAGAGCAGGAAATGGGATGAGACAGAGTCTAACGTTTTATTATTATCTGGCAGCAGCACTGTCCAATGCAAGCCATTCTGCGATTTTAAATGTTCCTACATTTAAAAAATTAAAAAGAAACAAGAAACATTAATTTTGATAATGTTTTATTTAATTCTATATCTCCAAAATATTACCATTTAAAACACATAATGGTTATAAACAAATTGAGATTTTAACATTCTTTTGCCTTTGCAGTAAGTACCTGAAAGCCAACACGTTTACACATTACAGCACATCTGCATTCAGACAAGCCACATGGTGACCACTCCACCCTAAGGGGCTGCTGGCTATGATACTGGACAGTGTGCCTAAGACAGTAACTGATTCTGAAAAACAGTACTTGTCCTAAGTGGGTGACAATACAGAACACCACTATCTGTT